CCTGCAGATTTATATAGCTTCCTGCAGATTTATATAGCTTCCTGCAGCTTCATGTAGCTTCCTGCAGCTTCATGTAGCTTCCTGCAGATTTATATAGCTTCCTGCAGCTTCATGTAGCTTCATGTAGCGTCCCGTAGCTTCCTGTAGCTTTGTGTAGTTTCCAGTTGTTTCCTGTTGTTTCCTGTTGTTTCCTGTAGTTTCTTGTAGTTTCATGTAGCTTCATGAAGTTTCATGTAGCTACATCTGACTGGACAGAGCTGGGAACTCTGGTTGGACCTGTTTTTTTATCCCTGACTACTGGTCTGCGTTTTACTGCCGCTTTAGCTGTGAGGCAGCAAGGTGGTGGCCGATGACACACAGATGGCAGGAAGCTGCTTGAGCGCTAAGCTAATGGCTAGCACATTGGGCCCTCCCATAAAATGGCTCACTGATGGCTGCTCATGGCCGACGTTTGTCCCCGACTCGGTCTGTTTGTCCTCTAGCAACGGGAAGAAACGTCCTCTGGAAACATAACTTTACCAAAACTGCACAAACTCTGCAGACACACACAAACACAAGTGAGAATAAACAAACTCAGCTGAATGCCATGCTAACGCTAGGCTAACTGCAGTCTAATGACTGTACAAGCATCCAGAGAGCAGTAACCCGAGCTAAACAAGCTGAAAACACACTTACTGGCAAACATCCAGGATTAACACACACATTTTAATCAGCCTTTATTGGACCACTGCTCTGGTGGCCAACAACACCAGATGTTGATTGGTTCTGTTGGTCCCTGGGCTCCCGTCACTCATGCTGCAGCAGCCAACCCTATCCCCCACAGCCTCCTCACGCACGCCATCCTCCCTGTCCTCTCAGAGGACCCAGAGCGCCGTGCAACGTCCTGATGTGAATGTAAAGGAGCGTTGCACGTCTGCAGAATGTTAACTGGCGCTTTAAGAAGTGGGAAACCAAGACCCTCCAAAACCTCCAGCTGCTGGGTCAGGACTCAGACGAGCTGAATCCAGCAGGGAGGATTTCTGATACAGAGCAACACGAAGTCCAGCAGGAAGGCTCTGAAGTCACTTAAGTTGTGTCGGAAGCCTGCTGGATCCAGAGACATGACTCTGGTCTCTGGATGTGGAGACATGACTCTGGTCTAGGTTGGGTCAGGGCTGTGGGCTCAGAAGTACGTCTGAAAATAGACAGCAGTCATTTTAAGGAGATGTTTAGCGGAAACGTCTGAATTTCTGTGAAGTGAATTTTTAAATCAGGGCTCAGTGAAACGTCTGCATCACAAACATGAGACGTCAGAAAATCTCACTTTTAAAATCACGTGTTTATGGCCTCGTGCACAGCCTCTCTCTCTACTGAACGAGTGATTACTAAAATGATTGATTACTAATGTCTGATTGATGTTTGGCTGATTAATGACCTTCTTTTCCAGGTATGTTTATTAAACTAAATGACTTCCTGTTTACCTGAGCGCTGCTCGGCTCTCCTGTCAGAAACTTGCTGAAGCTTCAAACGTGAAGAAAAGTTTCTATTCTGTGTGTTTTAGAAAGTCATTGTAAAGCAGCTGTTTTCATTTCATTTAACTTCTGTAAAGATTGATTTAACTTCATAAAGTTCAGTTAGAAGCTCAGGTGTCCCTGTCCCATTCTGGACAGGTCCACCTGAACACAGCTGCTTTGGAATGAGTCTTCCTGTAATCTGAAGGTGGAAGCTTCTGTGGAGGCTCACGTTGAGCAGCTTCAGGAGAGCACACTAACATTTCTGCTTCAGAACCAACCTCTGCTTCAGCCTGTCTGTCTCTCTGCTGTCTGTCTGTCCATCCCTATGCATGCCTCCCTGGATGAACAGCCGCCATAATCGTCACCCAGCTCACAACGCCGTATATTCGCATCGCCCCGGCAGCTGGCGACAAGCAGCTAACAGGTCAGGGGGAACACACACACACATACACACACACACACACACACACAACCCTGAAAATCAGTGCACAGGCTTTCTTTACAAGATAACGGTTGTTATTTTTTCACAGTGTGAGAAAGCATCACATTTGACCTAGAAAGCAGCAGTTCCTTTAGTTATTTAAACA